GTGGGCTGATTTTTTCAGGTTTTTACATTCTTGTCGACGCTGTCCCAGTGGCAATCACTTTCGATTTCGGTTAATATGTGCTAAGTATTTGCACGTTGTATGGCGGACATCATTAAGTCGGAGCATCATTCTTGCAAACATTCTCAAGCTGTCTAGTCAAGAAAACTCACTGGCCTATCTCTAGATGTTGTATATATACCCACAATATATGCAGTTTAATGATACCTTAAATTATTTGTTTAGTTAAGGTTATACATCAATCTAGAATAATCTGTGTGTGCGTTTTTGTGTTATTATGTACCATCATGTAGAAGTATATGGACTTTCTCATTGGATTCGAAGAAGATCGCTTCGGGGACAAAATCAACAAGAATGTTTCAGTAGAGCCGGCCAAGGAGAATCCGACTTGGACTACCGGTTGGATCAAACTTTTAATCCCTTCAAGGCACACTTTTACTTAAGATGAAAATGAGCTCAACAATTATATCTTTTAGTATTAAGTAATGTAAAATTCCTTCACTAGACCATCCTCAAAATTAATTTTCTCGAATAAAAATGTAAACAGATGACAACATTTATCGCACAAAAAAAATAATACTTGATCGCACTGGGTTCAAAAAATATATAAGTTCTCGGTTCTGTTCCTTTGAGAACGATGGATGAAGGGTTTTATAAGCTGGTCTAGTCGACCGATAATAGCGAGTTTCACTGGTCCACTTTTAATAGGCATTCGAGTATCGTTCCAAGTGTAGCAGTCACCGATCCATTATACTACAATCCCAATAAATTCCTAATTGGCTTTTGTTTGTCATAAGTCAGAAAATGTAGAAGGGTTCCATTTTTTATCCTGATTCAGCATTTATCAAGACAATCCTACCTTCTTCTTAACGCCTAATTTTCTTATTTTAATGAAGAAGCCAATGATTTTGTTGGCTCTTTTATGCTTCTCCTCACATGCTTGCGAATGCGGATGCGGTCTAACATCAATTTCCCTACCGAAATAACCTGCAATTTGAGCCTGAAATATAAAGATGTCTTCTGGTGTGTTGTTGCACGTGTGATGTGTTTGCAATAGTTGTCAATCAGTCCAAATTGTAAATTGTATTAAACTAAAATTTGCCTTAGACTTCCCATTTCCTGGATCCTGTTACTAACGACTGCCAGACAAAGACTTTTTATTATAATTAATTTCGTATTGCATAGACTTAAACGCCATACGCATTATTATAAACTAGCATTTTTGGGTCTCCTATGTGCATTTCTACCAAAATTGTCTCCTTTATTAACTAAGAAGTTTAGACAGATGGCCAAACAGCTTATTATAACTCCAAGGAAATTTACTCACTCCATTTATTAATTTCATTAATATGAAAACGGCAAATTAACTGTTGCAATATCTAATAAACAACTACTTAAGTAAGACACTCCTGGAAGTAGGCAAACCTTCTGGTTTGCCATATTTTTGCTCATATAAGTTTACACTAAAACTTAATAGAAGTGGGCTGACCTCGTTGCCGCAACTTGGTCTTGTATGTACCAAGTCCATTGTCTGATGTTGGGAATTATGACAACTACTATGGCAGAGGACTTCGGACTATGTGTGTTCTATTCAGTCTCCCTGACAACAAGACCAAGTTGCGACAAACGACTAAAACTTAGTGCTCACTGTTACTTATTACATTTTTCAAACTCATGTTTTATCCTCTGCTTAATCTTTTATGTATTCTGTTATCAAGTTGTTGATCTGTTATTGGCTCCAAAGTTGTCCTAGCCCGCTTACAGAAATATGTTTGTATATTATTTATTATTATACTTATGCATTATATTATACGTATTTATTTATATTATATATTTAATATTATAGATAAATATATAAAATGTGTAATATAAAATATATTATTAATATTTTAGGACAAAATTTAAAGGTGAATTCCCACATTTAATCATCTGCTCATCAACTAACTTAACTAAAGAGGTTGGATCTCGCCTACTCAACTTGGTCGTGCTGCCATGGTGACCTAGATAAACGCACCTAATCCGGACTCCCTCATAGTATTCATGATCATTTCCAGCATCGGACCATGAAGGTCGTACATTTTCAACGCTGGAAATTAGCATGACTACTATCGCAGACAACTCTGGACAAGGAGCGTTCATCTGGTTATCTCTGACAACATGACCAAGTTCCTATACAGTGAAACAGGACCTTATCTTGGTCTAATATCACACCGTGTCAGTGGGTACATTTTCAAATTTTATTGCTCTCCACAACTTGTACACTGTTGTAGGCTACCCTTCAGGATACATATTCCACTTGTACTGGTATCTTTTGGCGCCAATAATAGCGAACAAGATTGTAGCTCAACTACAAGGTTAATCCAACTAAAGTAGCACCCATTCTTCATAGACTTTTGGTAGAGAAATGGACGAACAACTTGCAGTTTGATTATATGACACAGAGATTCTGGATAATATGCTCAAGTTAATAAATAGAATATACTGAATAACTAGATTTACCTGGGAGTTATAAAAGGATGTTGGGCTATATTTTTTGCAATTCATACTTTGTAAAGAAGGAAACAGGTTGGGTAGGAATGTGTATATGAGACTAACATATTCAGGTTTACTCCTCTACTCTATTTCTACTAGTAATTATAGGGCTAAAGTGGGTGTGCTGTGTAACCTGTTATAACAAGATGTCTGAGTCTAACTGGACTAATTCACTAGGACCAGGAAATGGGAAGGGTAAGGAAAATGTATTCCGGTTTAATGATAATTATGTCACAACTCTAAGGAATTGAGACGTAAGGGGGAGGTGGGCAACTCAACTTGGTGCTTAAGTTAGCCAATTTGTTGGCTTTCGAAGTATGTCTGAACTCCTGATCAAGTTTACCATTTTAATAATCTATAGAGTGTAACCAACACTTTTTTCAGTAATTCTTTTTATTCTACTTTCCAGGCTAAAGGAATGTTCTATGAGATGAAGTCAGTAAGAGTTTCTTTGAGGCTCAGCTTTTTAGCATATATATTCTTATTAATTTATGTAAATCATTTGTGCGTACAAGAGATCCGACCAGAACGGATGTACCTGCATTGCAGTTGAAGTTCACGCTAGTAGTAAATTTTGCTGTATCGACCAGACAACAAGTTATTTATAATATAAGTTGTGTTCACCCTATTTCGTCTAAAGTGATGATGGACTAGTGGTTGTTTTTCCCGCAATCATATGAGTAGAGCTGATGCTTTCCATTAAATTTCACTTATCCTTGCTTTCCAGAAAGTTATTCTTATCTCGGCTGGAGTGGACTGCAGTTTCGACCTCGCATAAGTCTTCTCGACGTCCCCAGCGGGAGTCGAACCGTGACAGTGCAACATGTGGACTTGAAGCATTAATCACTCGGCCACATTGCCACGAGTGTCCTTACTCGAAACTCTTGAAACTCTATTTACATACGAAAAATAACTTATTTATAGGCTAGAAATTTTTTAATGATGCGACAGGCACTGATATTTTATCCGTTATGACGAATTGAAAGAAATACTGCTTTTTCTTCGTCCGCCATGGCAGTTGGACAGGGAATCAAAACCGCAATCCACTTTAGATGATAATTCGATTTTATGACCCACGGGACTACTTGATTCAGCCATACACTGACCGCCACTTGTCCAAACATATCCATACTTTCTTCAGTGGAGCTTTTGTTTTGGGATCAAGGTCTAACAGAGCCTGATCCTAATTTGCTCATTATTCATTTAATATTGCTACCAACCTGATCGATTGTCGGAGCATCCCTTCTTTGAGCTCACATGTTATAGACAATTGCTTGTGCTGCATTTAAGGGAATAATCACACCCAGCCATCCTTCCACTCTTGCGCAACAGAAGAGTTTTTATGAAAGTGTAGAAACCCATACTTTATGTACCAAAATCTCATACTTTATCTAGCCCAGCCTTGACAATACAAGCCTTGACTAAAGGTTACTAAAGGAAAATGAGTAGTTTGGGACTTTTGGTGCACTCGAGCATCTAAAAGCTATGTTGCTCTCGCATAGAATGATTTGAAGATTGTTGCACAACCTAATTAAAGTTTTCAGTTTTTTATTAAAGTTTTTTGTCCTATCAAGTCATTTTCCTGGGTAGCCACCTGTACACTAAGCTCACTTTACTAATATTTTTAATTTGATATACAAGCAAGACGTTATGGCATTCAACCCTGTAAGTCCTATTCATGAATCCTTTCCATCCAAAGTTTCAAACTCAACGAAATTTTGAATAACCTGATATTAAGTTTAAGGGCAGACGCCAGCTTCCCAATTGACATGAAAGTTGGACACCGAATGTGAGTTGAAAGTATCAAAGTTATGCACTGAAAGTAATGGGTGTCGTTTACCCCTTTCGGTGGTTGGAGCATGTGTAGTAATTTATAGGCCTCTTAAGCGAGATGTCCACGGGCCCTAGCAAACCCGAGAAGTTCTCATACGGCCTAATTATAATTGAGACCTGATTCCAACTTGTCTTAAAATACTCCAATATGCATTTATCTATGAGTATTAAAATCGCTCGAACGTTCACGATAGTTCGCGATAATACCACCTTTCTATCGTTCATATGCTCCTTTTTAGTCTCAAACAACCGATTATAAATATATTAAATAATTTTGAACGTCGTTCAATTATGGTAGCAACGTCTAGCAGATATGACGGGAGATATAATGTCAAATTTATAATTGAGTCGGCCTACATGACCGTTAATGAGAAGGCAGTCATAATAATAAATTAAACATCATATGAATGAAAATACGCACCGTTTTTAATGAGGTGACTTTATTTGTACATAATTTCCATAGTTTGCTCAGCTCTTCAGCACTAGAAGCCATTGAAAAACTATTTGGGTAAGAGATGATTCACAATTTCAGACTATTTAAATTTTTTTTATAAAACGTTGATTAATTTGGCTGTGCCATAGAAGAACCATAAAATGTGTATGTATGACTCCAAATGATGCCGCCCTTTTCTGCTCTCTTGCTGAATAATCTGGTTAGCGGAAACTGGGTCGGAGAAATACCCTACGAGAAAGCCGACTCCGTGATTCCGGAGGAGTTGCATTCTAGCGCCCTGAAGCCCAAAATGACATATTCATCCCATGGCGACTCCAGCCTGAGCACAACTCCAGCCTCCCCTTCACTAATTCCACTTCAGCCTAGCAACAAAACAGTCTCGTTGTCAAAATCTGACATAATTTGGTCCCAGCCCCTCTTAACAGCCTCTCTCACAGCCGCTGATGAGCCTTTGTCCATTTATGCTAATAATAGCATAATTGTCAACCGGAAATCTCGGAAGCAACCATCCAACTCGGGCTACTTGATTCTCGAAAGCGCCAAATCGTCAGCCCTTCTGCCTCGAGATACTCAGACTGATTATCCGATGTCTTCACCGATGATCCCAACGGTAGTTGTGACAGCTCTTCGACGACCTACAATGTCGTCATCACCGTCTAGGCAGAATAGGATGGGCAGTCGAATGGCCGTCTGGCTTGCTAGGCAGTTGCTGTTGAATCACAACACAATACGCTTTATGGTTGGCAGTGGTTTGGTGCCTAGGCAACCAGCCTCCATCGAGCCTTTGAAACTGTTGGTAAGCGATCGGTTATGCAATTAACTGTATCATTCCATGTCCCGACATACTGCAATTTTATGTGCTAATAAGACCATTGCGGTCACATGTGAAAAAACTCCACTAACAGTCATTAAATAAACTTAAGCGAACTAGGCTAAGTTCTTGTTCAAGAAAGAGAGATAGTTTTAAAAATGTCTTGCACTCCAAATAAACTCCGCTCGCCCAAATAATATTATGTAAAAAAGTAAGGTAACCTTACTTAAATGTATCTAATTGGATGCCAAGCAAATACTGTGAGGAAATCTTCCAATATCTAGCCAAGTTAAAAATGATCAGCCTGAAATCAGTTACGAAATGAATAGCACTCCGCTGCAGACAGCAATATTGGGCTTGTTTATTGAAAAAGGTATATCGACATAAGAAAAGAAGGGGCAATCTAGCATTGTCAGTAGAAACGTAATCAAGAAAAGAGTAAAAATCAGAGACAGAAAGCGGCAAAAGCCAAGAAAGAGACCAGAAAGCAACGATAAGATCAAATATAAATTAATAATTCAGCAGGCGTAAGAGAAACGGAAGAAACTGGAAAAAAATTCGAATAATCTTCACACATCATTCCATTTTTTGGAAGTAATTCGTAGAACAGACTCACCAAAACCCGGAGGAGAATTGCCGCCGAGTGAAGACTATTTGATTGTACGAAGAAATACATGGCTCACCGTCCTGCGACCCTGATGAATTTGTGCTAAGCTTTCGTCCTTACTGTGGCAGCAATTATCAGAGCAAGAATACATACTTTAGAAAATAGCGCAAAAAATATACAAAACCAAGAGAAGAGACGAGTTGTTGTATGGTGCTAAGAATGGCGATACTCACTGACGATGCCGACTACGATGCAGCGAAACGTTTGGGAATGTACCATGTCCACGGTTCAACTTTGGAAATTATCATGCAGACAATGGACTCCGGACTAGGTGCGTTCCTCTAAATCTTACTACCAAAATGACCAAGTTGCGAAAACAAGGTCAAACAACCTCTATAAAACGAAAGGAGACTGCGACCACACAAAAGGCCACACAATCTTGGTTTTCATACCTTCGATTAACTCAAATATACTCTATATCTGCATCTATATGTACACCTTCAATTATGTAGAGTAAATTTGAGGCAGCCAACTAAGTCAAGAGACTCTGATCGGGAAGAAAGTATCATTTTGGTGCCTGCACTCTAACAATCTCCAAAATTCT